CCTCTTACGACATCCTCGGGACCATATGGGGTAGTGGATACTCTTACACTGCTGTTAAACGGTTATTCCACCACTATTCGCCACTATTCTGCGCTATTATATTCTATTCGTAATATAAATCATTAAAAGACATTAGTGTATTAAAAAGCTAATACTACTACCACTGGTTACTAATTATTATGATGGGTCTTGCTTGACATGCCTCCAGTAGGTAACTACTTTGTAGAGTGAACATTAAAGCTTTTAGTAAGTGACAAAATTTTCATAATGTATGTGAAATGGATTACTAGTATAGAAGAACTAACTGGAAACAATTACCTTCTTAAAGATTTAAGATTTAGCTACCTTAGACCCGAGTGAATAAAATATTTTAAATTATTTCCATTGACTGAGCTAATGAGTTGAGCATCTAATCAACTCAACTAAATACCCATGGTGTCACGCATCTAGTGTAAGATGTGTATAGCTCTGCTCTATTTAACTACTGGAATATAAGTATCAAACCATGTCGAATTCCGCAAAAAATTATTTTATTCAATAAATAATGTAAAATTAATAATTTTGTACAACCGACTTCAATATAAATTATTAAGAATACCTCAAAAACTATTGGTCGGACGTTTTTTTTTTATATTCTACTAAGCCAGCGCATATCTAAGATCTCAACTGATGGTAAGTGGTAATGCAGCCTACGATGGTGAAGCGCACTGACTTAACAAAAGCCTATTCACTCTTGCCTTGAATACACCCACACTGTAATCAGATGAAAAGACAGATGCTGGCAACTTATTCCACTCCTTTGCTGTAGGCATGATGAACGACGTAGCGAACCGTTTGGTTCGAATCAGTGGTAAGTCAACAACGAAAGGGTGGAGACTGGCCTAACGTCTGGTTGTCCGATAGTGGAAGGGAAAGGGCGGAATTAAATTATGCAATTCCTGCGCACACTCTCCGAAATGCATCCTGTAGGAAACCGAAAGGCGGGCTACCTTGCCTCTGTGTTCGAGGCTGGTAAGATTGGTTTTAACCAAATTCGGGTCACCAATAAGCCTCTTAGCACGCCTTTCCATTAAGTCCAAAGCCCTTAATCATTTTATATGGGACCACATGTGAAGCACCAGCTTTCAAATAAAACAAGAGCCATCGAAATCGGTTCACCCAGTAAAAAGTTATGAGGTAACACGCATAAAAAAAAACGTACAGTCGAATTGAGTACCGTCTCCTTTTTGAAGTCGGTAGAAAATAATCCACTGTTAATTAATAGAAACAGTAACCCTGATGCAAACTTGAAACAGTAATCCTGATACTAAAATTAGGATATTACATATTATAATATTTATATCGGCAATATCTTCTTCTTCACCATCATTAGCGCTTAAACTTCCAGTGCTCTCCCGTTGTAGGAGGATTTGCTATAATTATGCAGCTTGACAGGCGGATGGATGATAAATATTAAAGATGCGAGGCACCTGGCTGAGTATTTTACGCCTGGTTTAAACGGGATGGTATACTGCCATGTAGTGGTATAATTTAAAATTTTGAGATTAAGACAAAATGATGTAAAGGGTTTTCCACGCCAATTTTTCACGCCGTCACTACACAGCATATATTACAATAATCAGTAGTTAGTCTGAGTAATTCAATATTATAATGAATAACATTATATTACCAATTGTATAATACATATTGACAATTTGAACTATCAACTTTTAATCTGTATAATAATTTGCAAACCAACTACCACGTGATTTAAAGTTCAGAATACCTGACATCCGTCTAAGGTCAATATTTGGGCAAACATCCAGCTATCATAATAAGTTACTTATTCAATTTGCTCACAGTATTTTCTTAAGCCACTAGTTATAAGCATACGTAATACTATTATTTATTCTGTGATATAAGGTAAATCATCACTTATAACTGCAATTAACAATTTTTAGTGGTCCTAGCGGACGGATTACGAAATCAAAATCAATTAACAAAATTTCCATTATACATCTGCCGCTACTTACAAAGGGCCTAAACGTAATTATTAGAATTAATTACATCCTCATAGTGTCCTCCATTTAGTTATGTATGCACTATCGTACTCTATATCCAATTGTTTCCACTTTGTCATTGGATAATGTAAAAAGTTAACTAATATAGATTTTAATTATTTGTACGAATCGTTAAGGCTAATTAATTAGATAATACTTTTTCCTGCTAAAGTCTTCGATTGTATTTAGCAATTCGCTGAAGCTCAATAAAAAAAAAATACAAAATGTTTAATTTCAATTTGTAATATGTTATTGTTTATATTTTAAAGTAGTTATAAGCAAGCTATACTTATTTATAAGTCTAAGGCTTATATAAACTTTGTCTTTAACCATCTAGTGGCGGTGTAAGAATATCCATTACCCTATATCGTACCGATGAACTCGTAAGTGGCAACAGAGGAAAAATGAAACAGACGATAGGCAGAGCATTTTCCTGATAACAACTAGCCAAGCGTGGCAACTATGGCAAAATCACCTGACGAATCAATCTATGAGGGAGCCGCTGAACACAGCCCTCGTCATTGGACTTTTATTTGCTGTAATGAATGGATGATTAATTTTTATAGTATTAAAGATGAACAAACAAACAGTCTACCTAATGGTAAGTGGCTACTGCGGCCCATAGACAACAAGGGACTGAAAACAACGAATATGACAGATTTTTTATCGTCTCTGAGGACTATGATGGTAAATATGCCTCAAAACCTGTAATTACTCTGGCTCTAAAACTCTCCTTTAGACCAGAACTCAACGTTAGATGCACTGTCGTTTGACGGCAGAAATAAGTAAGAGTATTTGAAAGGAATTCCGAAAATTCGTGATAGAAAAGAATTCCTACAACCACCACCGCCAAGTTGGTAAATTTGGCATTTGAAACAAAAGATTTTATAAAAAAAAAAATCAACCCGGCTGACTATAAAAACAAAACTTTCACAACCGTGTTGACAGAATATAATGTTATGCTAAACACAAAATGCGAATCGGGGTAAATAGCTATTCCGGGGGTGTAATTTTGTTATCGAACGGGCAATTTGCCAAGGCGCGTAGGCTTTGCTACCGAACGTCCTCTGATATTGTCAAGGACCAATCAAGGTTATTTATAGAGTAAAAAGGTAATAAGTATTCATTTTTTATCTCATGCCATCATTATATCATTATATTATGTTTTAAATAAATAAAATATATTATTATTATATGTATCTACATTGAGTTAGTTTTTATACAAGTATAAGGGCGACAAAAACGCGCCCACAGTCCCTTTTTTAAAATCTGATGAAAACTCTACCTCGTCCAATTAAAAAGCAGATGTGCTGACCCTTGAAAAATAAGATAAACTCATCAGTTCTAATTAGAAAGGTCTACGGTTCTTGTCACTTACTACACAAAACACAACAGAATTATAATAAGTATATTATTCTATAATGCTCCGTCTTTGGTATTCTGTAAGTGATCTTCCCAAGTCGAACCGTCCGATGCATTCGTCTGTACTTACAATACAGCCGCAGCGTGGCTCTATCACACATAATATCATATATTGGAACGAAGTTTCTTATCGGACGGTACGAATTTGGCGGATGGGGGCTAGGCGAGAAAAGCTAGGCTTCTGACGTTGTGTAGACGGCCTTGGCCGCTACAAGGAAGCGAGATGGAATAATATCCATCTCACTCGCACTTTTTCTTATCTTCTCATTAAATAAATATTATTATTATTATTATTTTAAATGACGCTTCATTTTAATAGACGCTAGTAATTAATTTATTTGTATTTGTTAATCAATAATATAATAGGTATTTATAATAATTTGAAAAAAGGAACTTCCTTCCAACCGAGTGTTCCACGACATTCACGAAAGTTTTTCTTTTTAAATTAAGTACTTAGTTTAAGATGTTGTATTAGCTTCTTTAAACCCAAGTAATGTAAGACTGTTTAATACGTTTATTTTGTAGCTTTGTGTGTGGAATAAATTTATCAAAATAATTCTTATATGTAGTATTTATCCTATAGTCGTATTGTTTAGGCACTTATCCACTACCCCATTCATCCCGTGGATGTTGTAAGAGGCGACAGAGGGAAACTGAACCAGATGAGTAGCAGCATTCTCCTGGTAACACTTAAAATAAAAATAAAATACTGAGGTAGAAGCTTGCCTAGCGTGGCAGCTTGGCAAATATCCCCCTAGGAAGCAATCTATGTTGAGCAGTGAACTTTTGATAGGCTGTAATCGTAATTTATGCAGTTTTTGGGAGATGAACGTTATTTTCATCACAATCATAATCATCATTCCTCAATCCTCTACCGAAAATTTACCTACATTAACAGTTAATTATGTACATATGAAGTTATACAATACCTAACTTCGAACACTAAGATGTCCTTACATCCTTAATACCTAATTGTTTGCAGTTTATTTCACAAACATTCAATTATTGAATCTTCACTTCACGTGACGCACTTTGAAATCAGAAATTTAATTTAACTCAATATGAAGAAGTTGGCCACATTTATTTTATTTGAATTCTCGACTAATGTTGACACAGTAAAAAAAGTAAAGTAAAAACTTTTTAGAAGTGTAAGCCCACTAGATGAAGTTATTTCTTGGTATCTGGTAAAAGATGGAGGAAGTTTAGTAAGAAGTTAAGTTTTGTAAGAGAAGCTTTGTGGCATTCCTTGGGGGAGACGTATGTTCAACAGTAAACTTCTGATGTACTGTAATTATAATGAATTATTAGAAACAATTTATATTTTTTTATATAGAAGAAGGGGCAAATGAGCTAATAATTTAACTTACTACGAAACAGTAATTGCCCAATTTGCACTTGACCTATTTTTAAAACAAAAATTGTTAAAAATTAAACACCGTTAAATGCATATGATTAATTACGCGATTAAAATGCTTTTTTATCTACTTATCTAATTAACAGTTTGTAATTAGGTATTAAGTTAACGTCCTTTTGTTTCAGTGCGGAGCCGTTCATTGGTTCAGCGAGTAGCTGCGCGGACTGGTTTAGCTAGAGCTGGGTCAGTTCATTCACACGAGGATCGATAAACCGACGGCCGCGTGTGGTATGCGCGCACGCACTGTGTCATGACTATGACACATTTCGGTCCGCACAATACGCTTCGCATCACATGAAGAAAGATAACTGACCCTTCACTCAGTGTGCCAAGTTTCAATTTCATCCTCGCTCTTACTTCGTGAGTAGTCGCACGTGTGCCGGTCGCTACGCCGCTCTCTACAGTGATGCAACCAACGCAGACCTCGATTAACGCTGGTTGTCAACACTAAAACATTGCACATTCAAATTTGACGTTCACATATAATGACAGCCAATTGACATTTTAATTTAAATAATAAACGTTCAGTGAAAAAAGTGTAGTTGATATCGTGCAACATGTCGTCCCGCTCAAAAGAAAAATTTGCTGCCGCCTTCCGGAAGTTGTTCCGATCTTCGGAAAAGCTTGATAACGACGGCGCTGGACCCAGCGGATCACCTGCCAGGCGGGGTCTTCTTCGTCGTCACAGGTACGTTGTTAGGTTGAGTTTTTTTTCTAGTTTGTCACAATTTACGCTAAATGTTGCTAAATGTTTAACAGGCCAAAATAATAACAACCAAGCATTGTTTGTTTTTAAAACATAGTTACTTTAACCACGTAAATATTTTGTATAAATAATATTTATAACATGTTATGTGATTGACACTCGTTGACAAGCTGTTATCAGAACTAAACATCTTATTGGTTCGTGGAACTAGGTAATTGTCTTTTCTACGAATAACTGAGTGAAGTTAATTCGCTGTAATTAAAATAAAAGCACGGTAAGATAAAAAAATAAATAATAAACAAAACTCAGGATGACCATGTAGATAAAATAAACACGGCCTTCCATCGTGGTCAAATATTATCAAAAAGCAATCTTAACGGATTTGGGTAGGTAATGAAGTTTAATTATTTGTTATTTAAACAACACTAATAAAATTTGTTGCTCTACATTTTTTATTATTTGTTTATTACTTGAAAAAAATGAGTGCCTCTCATGTATATCAACATTTAAAGGTATTTATGTATTTTATAATGTTTAAGAATTGATATATTATAGAAATGTTGTACGTGGTAGAGCCATGTTGCAGCTATATTAGCAGTATAGTTGTAGCGCGAATGGATCGGCTCGACCGGGGAAGAACCACGCTCTCACAGAATACCAGCGTTAAATAGCAGCTTAACACTGCTGTGTTTCGTTTGGTGAGTGTAGAGAACCGGAGACCCTTTTTACTGGAAAAGAGGCATTCCATCTTAATCCTCACGGGTGACAACGCATCTGCATTTTGATTCTTTATTGAGGATAGATGTAGATGTCTATGGGCCACAGCAACCACCTACCATCAGGTGAACTGTGTGATCGTTTGTCACCCTATCCTATATAAAAAAAAAACATATTTTAATCACATGTTAACATAAACACGTATTAAGAAATGTGTCATTCTTAATTATTATACTCGACATTTTATGAATTCGATCTTTTAAATAAAGAAGTTATCCGGTTTTCCTCCATTCATAAATTGGTATAATAACATAGCATTGAATATGGAGTAGCTCGAGTTACGAAACCGTTTTCAGTGCCTAGAAGATTGCAAAGCAGTGGACGATATAAATGACAAGCTCGTGGAAACTGTCCATGCGGTCGGAGCTAAGTTTTGCAAGACCCGCCGCAGAAGAACACAAAAACTCTCCGATCACACTCTTAATCTCATGGCTGTTAGACGGAATATGAAGCTGCAGTCTTCAGTAAATTTGACAGCACACAGGCAACTGAACAGACAGATCTCCAAATGCATGCGGCGGAACTTATGCAACTTTAATACTGCTCGTATTAAAGAAGCGATCGAGCGGAACCAGGGCTCCAAAGTCTGCTAGAGATCTGTCTGCCAGAAAGAGCCAACTGTCGAAGCTGAAGACCGAGTGTGGCAGCGTCGTTTCTGGGACACCTGAGACTTTGAGTGAGATTGAGAGGTTCTATGGGCAGCTGTACACATCATCGTTGAAGCCACACGTAAGTGTGAGTAACGATCCAAGGGCGAGTCTTATCCGAAACTATTCCGATGATATCCCGGACGTCAGTCTGAGCGAGATTAGAATGGCTCTCCAGCACCTTAAAAATAGCAAGGCCCTAGGCGAGGGTGGAATTACAGCGGAGCTTCTGAAAGCGGGTGGAAAACCAGGACTTGAAGTCCTTCAGAAGCTCTTTAGTTCCGTCCTCATGGCAGAATCGCTGGAGGACCTAAGCACTATGCTCAATGACCTCAATAGTATTTCCTTAAGATGAACATGGACAAAACAAAGATCATGTTTAATATCCATGTCACACCTATGCCGGTAGTTGTTGGGAGCACTAAGCTCGAAGTAGTTGACGAGTATGTTTACCTGGGACAAATAGTCCGACTAGGTAAGTTCAACTTTGACCGAGAGGTCAATCGACGGATTCAACTCGGTTGGGCAGCGTTCGGGAAACATCGGGGGAAACACACGGGGCACATCTTCTCATCAGGTATACCTCAAAACTTGAAAACGAGACTGTACAACCAGTGCGTGTTGCCAGTGATGACCTATGGTACTGAGACGTGGTCCTTCACTGCTGGCCGGATGAGGAAGCTCAAGGTCGCTCAGCGAGCTATGGGAAGGGCTATGCTCGGAGTTTCTCTGCGTGATAAACTTACAAATAAGGATATCCGCAGTAGAACCAGAGTGACCGACATGGCCCAACGGATTAGTAAGCTGAAGTGGCAATGGGCCGGCCATATAGCTCGAAGAACCGACAGCCAATGGGGAAAAAAGGTTCTCGAGTGGCGGCCTCGTACCGGCGGACGAAGTGTAGGGCGTCCCCCCACTAGATGGAGTGACGACCTGGTAAGATGTGCAGGAAGTCGATGGATGCAGGTGGCTCAGAACCGTGCTTTGTGGCGTTCCTTGGGGGAGGCCTATGTTCAGCAGTGGACTTGTGAAGGGCTGTAATGATGATAATGATGAATATGTAGTCTATTCTTTTTAAAGTTAGTTGAAAATATTAGACAAAAAAAGCTAAAAATAATCGATAAACTATCCACTTACCATCACGTAGACTGTGTACTCGTTTGTCATCCTCATTCTATACAAAAAAAAACTAGGAGGACAGAAACAATAACACAAAGTCGTATAGTACGAGTAGCTACTATAACTAATATATTAAGAGAAAAAACAGAACAAACAAGCTTTGACAGTAATTAGGAACATTTCAAAACAGCAACTTAAAAAAAACATTTTGATGACCATGACCATGTTTGCTATACCGTCAGCTGTCAAAATGGCGTCGATAAAGCGTCGTTTTGATCTTTTATTGTTTAATTGACTGATGAAGAGCTATCGTATAACAGATCCATTTATGCGAACAGGGCTGTAGTTTTTGAATTATAAGAAAGTGTTAACCGGGTGACCCATATTACTCACGTACGCTTAGGGTTACCATATCTCAGCATTTGTCCTGAGATTTCAGGATTTTTAGACTTCTGGACTGGCTGGATTTTGCAAATCTCATGTAATCTCAAGATTTTTTGAATTTTTAATACAATACAGCTTACATTTTAAACATCTCTTTAATAAAAAGTTAAACTAAAAATAATCTTCCTTTGGTAATAATTGCACAATTGACATCAAAACTTATTTATCTAAGTAGGTACTTCAACAGTTTTATCATACTTAATATGTGAAGATACCTTTTTAAGTAAAGTTTTTTCTCCAACTGTAAAAAATCTCTGGATTTTTAAATGGAAATCAGGCCTTTTCTCCGGACTTTTGATTTTTTCATCTGGTAACCCTACGTACGCTAGACATAGGGCTCTCCCGTTATAGGATTTATTTTGCCTTAATCGTCGTGCTTGGCTGGCGGATTGACGATCACGGTATCAGATGCACTGACGCTGCTGTCCGTCACCAGTCTGGGTATTTACAACTTGGCCAAAAAAATTATGCGCATGACAGGAATGCGGTTTCGGCGCCCGCACCCCGCCTCTATCCCCGCGCTTTTTTTTTATAGAATAGGGTGACAAACGAGCACACAGTCCACCTGATGGTAAGTGGTTGCTGTGGCCCATAGACATCTACATCTATCCTCATTTGCGAATAAAATGCAGATGCGTTGTCACCTGTGAGGACTAAGACGGAATGCCTCTTGTCCAGTAAAAAGGGTCTCCAGTTCTCTACACTCACCATACGATACACAGCAGTGTTAAGCTGCTGTTTTACGCTGGTATTCTGTGAGAGCGTGGTCCTTCCCCGGTCGAGCCGACCCATTCGTCCTACAAATATACCTTCTACTAATATAGCTGCAGCATGGCTTTTCCCTAGTGATCAATCACCGTTCCGGTGTTTTAATGACGTCTTAGCTGTCATGCGCCTAATTGTTTTGGTCACTTATCCATTAGTCGTCATAGAATGCCTTCAGCATTTCAAAGTCCTAGTTGCCAAAGGAAGTAATGGATTTTTTTCACCGCCACCACAGAGCCACACGAATTATTTAATATTTAAAAGAAGAAATAGACATTTTTTAGGGTTCCGTACCTCAAAAGAAAAAAACGGAACCCTTATAGAATCACTTTTTTGTCCGTCTGTCTGTCTGTCTGTCTGTCAAGACCATTTTTCTCAGGAACGCGTGGAGGTATCAAGGTGAAATTACTTTTATTACATAACAAATACTCAAGTCTACTGTCCCTTGGAGCTGTGAAAAAATCAAACTTCTAAGCCAACTCAATCAAAAGATACAGCCGTTTATGCCGCGAATTTTCGACATTCGCAAGGGAATCAGAACCTACAGGGTCCTACTCCCGTGAACTCAGAATCTTAAAATTTGGTACGAAGCAACGTTTTATAGTACAGGTAAATGAAAAATTGCGAAAAGTTAAATTTTTAGTTACATCATGTATTAAAAATATTTTTAATAATTTTAAACTTATATACCTACGGATTTGTTCGGAACCCTCGGTGCGCGAGTCAGACTCGCACTTGGCCGGTTTTTTTTTTTCATTGAAACCGTATCAGTATGATAAACAACTAACGAAGTGTACAAGGAAGTTTTGAATCGGAGGCGTCGAGGCGTGTTTTGCGAATCCCTCTACAAAAACAAAGACATTGTTTACTTGGTAGCAGCGTGGCATCATGACGATTGCGACCGCGGAACAACGCGCAACGTAACACCGACCGCAACATACCTCCACTAAACACTAAAGCATGACACACTTTGAAAGCTATATTTATCTCGCGGAGATAATTAACACGCACTCACACCATGTTATTGTGACATGAATAATTCATTCATCTATCCGTTTGAAGTATTTTTCGGTAACTGCAGATCTATAAAGGTTGTAAACTTGTAAAGGAAATGTAATATTTATAAACTGGCGACCCGCCCTAGGGTCATCTGGGTAGGATCTATTAATGAGCGGCGTTATTTAGACTTATTGTATCAACTTTAAAAAAAACAAGCTATTCTAATAAAAT